TCTCCCCTTACAATTTACACGAACCCTTGGGGTCATGGCTGGAACCCCATTTATGTGGTGTAAGCAAAATACAATCAGTCGAGGCAAGAAATAGCCCACACTGCTTGGTTTGAGCCATTTTGGGGAGGAGGGGCAGATTCCTGGCCCACACTTAAGGTACAATAAAACAAAAACAATATACCAGAGGATAAGGAGGAAGTTTAAATAATGAGAGGGGAAATTTGCAGTAGAAACAGATCCATAGTGGCCCTTCCTTGAAACAAACAGAAGATCCTGACTGAAATAGTTCACAAATATTTAAATGTATTATTTATTCCTATGCTTATTGTTACTCCTGGACTGCTTGATATGCTAAAAGCTCTAGCAATTAACCTCAAGAATCTATGTAATACAATACAAAAACCAATGCAAAATCCTGACAAACACCCAGACAAGAATGAAAGTAGCACAGGGCAGTGTCAGATCTGATGGCAAATCGGGGACAGCCTGTGGCACCAGGATCATCTTCAAGAGGTTTTTAGAACTCAGTGTATTTCTGCCTCTTGAGCCATACATGGGAGGACAGAAGTTGCCATCAAGTCCAACCTCATCCCATTACTTGGCAACATCCTGTTGGTTGTGGGACAGCCCGTAAGGCATGTATGACCATTAACAGGTATCTGATGAACATCTGCCAGGACTATCCTAAGTAGAACTGTGTGGGTCACAGGACAGGGTTATCTTGAGTACTTGCAGGTAACACTGCAAAAAAGAAAGGCAGTAAAGAAGCAAGAGAACCAAGCTTTTTGGTTTTAGCCAGACAGCTGGATTTTTTTTTTTTTTTTTGGCCAGCAGCAGTTTCAAGAAAGCTAAAAAAAGGGCAGTGAAGCCTCAAGGGATGCTCTATCAGCACAGGAATCACAAACGGATTGTGAAATATTAAAGACAGACTTCCAGCTGGGGAGAGCTCAGCTGACCTCTCGCATGATCCGTAATGCAGGCTCTGTGGATTATCCCTCTAGCAGAGGCAGGCAGAAATGGGTTCTCTCCACACAACACCTGTCCATTGAAGCACAGCTGGATGCTCAACAGAAACAGCATTTGAAAATGGTGCCTGTTATGGGGGGGAAGGCATCCTTTTGAGTGTATCATCCTGCTATTGCTGAAGGGCCACGGCTCAATGGGACAGCATCTGCTTGTACGCCAAAAGGCCTAGTCTGGCCCCCTGGTTCTCCAGGTGGAGATGGGAAAGGATCTGTCCAGAAACCCTGAAGAGCTGCAGCCAGCACTGGGGTTGGAGGGCCCCATGTCTGACTTGGCACAGGGCAGCTTTCCTATGCTCTTATGAAAGTAACTTCAAGTCAGGCAATGCCTTGGATCCAGCAATGCAACTCTGGATTGCCAGTTCTCCATGATCATCAGGAAAAAAAAACAGGAACTGTGCCAAGGCTAGTCCAGGCTTCCCCAGCTTGGCACCCTTGAGATGGACTTCAACCCCCATCATGCCCAGCTAGCAGCATGTTTGTCATTAGCGGGCACTTATTCCTCACACAGAGAGGTCCAGTTTGCAGAGTTCATGGGGGAGAGGGATTGACTGACAAGCCATTCTGGGAATTGCTGCTTTGTGAAGCAAATAGGTGTTTTCTAGCAACCCCAGAATTAATGGAGAGAAATAATGGGTGGAATGAAATAATAAGCGGAATGTAACTATTTGAACTGGAGTATATTCCCTGGAATCAATGGGAAAAATTAGCCATGACTTCTGATAGCTTTAAGTTCCTGTTACCTCAGTTAGGCTACTTCATGCATGGTTCAGCATGGATCCAATGAGAACTGGAACCCCTAAACTATGGACTCTGGACTCATGGAGGATCTCACATATACACACGCAAAGTCAGTGGTTGCAGAGGCCACAGAAAATTAAAATAAACCAAACAGTGATCAGAACAAAGATAACAGTGGGGGTTCCTCCAGGGGGCAGATTGCCAAGGCCAACCCTTGCCCCCTGGAGGAATGTAAGGAGGATCCCTGGGCTAGAGGTTCTCCTCTCATGCTGCTCAGCATAGTGAGAGGCTTTAAAGGGGATTTTCACAGCACTCACCAGAGCTTGGCAGACAATAAAGGAATAGAGGAAGCACTCCACAGAGGCATCTGGCTGTTGGAAGCATTTGGGCATTGCTATTAGCACTGGGCGTTCTGTGAGTGGGCACGGCCCATCTCTTAAGAAATGTAACAGCCTCAGTCTGGAAGGACCCCAAAGCACTTTCTTCTCATTCAGCTGAAAAGACGTTGTTTTTGTTTGGTCCTTTAAAAAGGCTTACTTTCGCTCTCTCTCTCTCTCTTTTTCCTGGAGAAAAGTCTAGTAAAATGAACCCCTTGTATTCCAAGAGAAAAGGATACTAGATAGATAGACTGGCATAGGACTGGGGACTGGATTGAAGGGAAATATATTTCCTCCTGGAATGCAACCATTTGACCAACATTACTGTCAAATAAAAGTAGATGTGTAAATAGGAGAGTGCTGGTATTTCAGCTTTTCAGTTAGAATTGCCTCTTTGTGATCAGGCAGGGATAATTAGACAAGGGGTGCATTTGATGCCATGATGTGATGGCTTTCTTTTGTACCTTATTAGCACTATGCCCAGCTCTGGATACTCACTTTTAAGTAGAATGGAGCAGGGCATTTTCAAAGGAAAATGAGGAACTGCACAGAATTATAATTGTCTTTTGCTATCACAAACCAGTGCATCTTCCTTGTGCGCACCCGTATGTGTATGCATCCTTTGAGGGAGGGAGGATTTAGCACATGGATGCCTTTTGACTTTTCATAAGGCAGGAGACAATGTGCATGGGGTTTCTACCTCGAGCAGCTTTGCCCAACCTGATCCCCACAAGAAGTTTTGGACTCCAACTCCCAGAATTCTTGGCCATTGATGGGAGGAGCTTAGTCTAAAACATCTGGAAATCATAAGGGTGCAAGAGCAACCTGGAGACAGTGTTTGGGGGAGGGAGGGGAGCATTGGGGGAGGAAGGGGAGAAGACCATGCTCTGCTACCATAGAAAGCTTCCTGGTGGTGCCTCAACCTCCCCTCCCCTCCTCTGGAGCAAAAGATTTAGATGGCCCAAACTGGCTCAGTCTTTTGCAGGGTGGGAGAAGCACAGTGGTGACCTTCACCTCTGTACTCCTTCTGGCCTCCATACGAAGTCCATAATCCTTCAAGTTCAGAGGGTTATGGGCAGCCACTCTGGACTGTGCTGCCCAAATTCTTTGAAAGTGTAAGTAAACATGAGGACGGGTGTAATCTGATAGACATTGTTTATTTGGACTTTCACAAGACTTTTTACCAAAGTCCTTTACCAAAGCTTCTAAGCAAAGAAATAGGAAAACTCCTCTTATATATTGGCAATTGCTTAAACAACAGAAAGTGAAGAATAGGAATAAGTCGGCAGTCCTTGCACTGATGGGATATAAAAGTGTGGTCTATCAAGGGAATGTTACTGGTATTTTTAAGTTGCTCATAAATGTTCTGGAAAGAAGTGTGATCAATAAGATGGGGAAGTTTGCTGAAAACTGCAAATTATTTAAAGTAGTTAAAACAAAAAGGGATTGTGATGCACTCCAAAAGGATCTTTCTAAAATGAGACTGCATATTAAAATGGCAGATGCAGCTCAGTGTAAGCAGTGTGAAATCCAGTGTGAAATTCACATGATGCTAGAAATGGACCAAGACAACGATCTTTGGGTTATGGTAGCTCATTTAATGAAAATGTTGACGCAGTGTGTGGCTGCTAAGAAAAAGGCAGATTCCATGTTGGCCATAATTAAGAAAGAAATAAAATAAACTTGCAAATATCATAATACTGCTATACTAACCTATATTGCAACTACACTTAAAATCTTGTGCCCAGTTCTGGCCACCACACCCCCAAAGGGCAATGTAAAGCTGGAACAGGTACAGAAAAAGCAATGAAATGATCAAGGGCCTGAGCAATTCCTTCAGGGCTTCTTTACATGAGGTATTTATTGTGTTCTTGTGATTCCCCAGTCATAGTAGTTTCTGGATGCTTTTCATGATGCTGTCACCCTCCAGGGCCTCTCCTTTGCCTTCTGAGCATTTCTGCAGTTTTTGTTCGGAATGAGGACAATGAGATGTTAAGGGACTAACACTCTAAAATGCTACAAAATGGTTGTGTATTTTTGTAATTCTGCTGTACCAAAGTGCCACCTTGTGATTGTATAAAAGCATACATAGAAAGGGAGGCAAAGAAAACTCCTGGGGAGAAAAACATGCAAAAGAGTCAATCTTATTCTAGTAAACTATCCAAAAGGCTTAATAAACTGGTCGGTTAAAATTAAAAGGCGTTATAAGACTAGTATGGTGTAGTGGTTAAGAGCATGGGACTGGGATTCAGGTCCCATGGATTCTAGTTCCTGCTCATCCATGGAACCAACAGTGTGAGTTAGCCCAACCTACCTCACAGGGTTGTCGGTGTGGGGATAAGACTGAGAGCTGCAAGATGAGAATGATGGAGATAAAGCCACTTTGAGTTTTCTAAAAGAAAAAAGACAGTGATAGAGAAACATATATTGATGGAAGCATGAATTAATTATTGTTATATTGCATTTATATCCTTCATTTTTCCTCTTGCAAGAAACCCTGAGTGGCTTACATAGTCCTTCAGCACAGTTTTTCATCATCACACCAACAACCCTGTAAGGTGAATTCGGCAAAGACTGAGTGACTGGCCCAGAGTCACCCAATGAGTTTTATGGATAAGTAAGGAATAGAACTTGGATCTTCTGGGTCCCCAATTCAGCACTGTAACCACAATATCAGACTGGCTGAATGAAGAAGAGAAAATGGAATTTAAGGCAGAGGAGCTGTCTCAGTTGTTCCCCACTTTCCTTGTCTGTATGATGTAAACAGAAGCAGAACTAGTTTCAAGTTGCTGAGCAGTGTCAGCTTCTTGCATGAAATTAATCATTTATTTCTCTTAAACTTTCAGGCCCAGCAGAAACCAAGTCGGAAGCCACCATGTCTGAGCTGGTGCCAGAATCCCGGCAAAAACCAGTCGTGCCAATGAAACCTGTTGGCATTAATTCTAACCTGTTGGGCTACATTGGGATTGACACCATCATAGAGCAAATGCGCAAGAAGACCATGAAAACTGGATTTGACTTCAACATCATGGTTGTAGGTAGGAAGGGTTAGGCCTGAGCAGGAGGCTTGGTCCATGTGCGTGGCTGTCTTGTCACGCGCAGGGCAAGCACGCTTGTATTTCCTTGGGGCAATGCTTGTGCTTGTAGTTGGCTGCAGATGCACCAAACAGGAATGCAGGAACCATCATCCTGATAAGCTCTTACCCAACACCTTTTTCCTTTCAGCAGCATGGCTGTAAATGGTTCTGCTGGCTGACATAAACATGGAAAAATTTTGCACATTTGTTTTTCCAGGCCAAAGTGGATTAGGAAAATCAACACTTGTAAACACCCTGTTTAAATCCCAAGTGAGTCGCAAGTCTTCAGGCTGGAACCGTGAGGAGAAGATTCCTAAGACAGTGGAAATCAAGGCAATTGGACATGGTAAGAATCAGTACAGTGATTCTCAGAGCTGATCCTTTTCAACTCCTTCTTGACCTTCACAGTGGTACATTATGTCATGCTCTTAAACCACTTTCTCTGCTACCTGTGAATGGCATTGAAGCCAATATGGCATAGTTCTCATAACAGGAAGGAAGTGACTGAAGCATAGCTGTACATCTTGGCTTCATCCAGAACGCTGCGCTACTTACCCCCAGGTGTTTCACTGCCAAGAGACTGAAGGAATTTGCCATGTCTGACAGTGTAACAGAGCACATAACGGTGTGTGGGTTATTTCCTTCTGCCCCCTTTGCTTGTGGGAATGTTGTGCAGCCCACCTTGTGCTTATAGATCTGGGGGATGTGGAGGGAATATATGGGGCAGGATACAAATGCAATAAATAAATAAAATGAACATAGGATAGGTAAACAGAGAGCACAATTATTGTTTGGCAATGGATATTTCTATGAAGGGGCAAAAATATAACTGTCAACCCCTGGAGATGACGTGAGTGAGGATAATTGCCAAGGTTAGACAGACACCTGCTGTATCAGGTTAGATTGGTGCTAGTCCATTGCTCTAATTACAAAAAGAAGCCCTGGCCACCGCCACCCTCCCCAGCTATACTGCCAGAAGGTAACTGCAGTATTTATAGGTTTGGAAGCATGGACAAGATGGGCTTCTTTCATCATGGGTTACTCATATGTAGGGGGCTCCATCCATAGAAGGGGTTGCTAGCCTTACCTCTGACATCCATACCTTGGCTGCTATGAAAGGATTGTCTCCTCCCTTATATCCCAGCCTGGACCCTAAGATCATCTTCAGAGGCCCTCCTCCTTGCCAAATGGGGTTGATGGCCTTTTTGGTGGTGGCACCCTGATTGTGGAATGGGCTCCCCTGAAAGGCCCACTTGGGACCTACATTTTGGGGGATGGGGGCATCAGGTGAAGACTTTTTTTGAGGATTTTTAGTTCTTCAGTTTGCTTTAGTTGTTGTGTTATGTCTTTCTCTGCCAGTGGTTCTTGCTACAGTTTTATTTTGTTTTAAACTTTAGAAGGTTGTATATTATGTTTTATGATATTGTATTTTAGGATTCCAATATCTGTAAAGGCTAAATGGGTAGGAAGCTTGGGAGACATTCACAGGTCTCAAAGGCGTAGCTGGGATAAATCTTGAAAAGGCCAATCTGCTTCATTGCATAGAGTCAGTGCACCATTCTGCCTCTATCATCTCCAGCTGTACCCTCCGTGGAGATAGTCTCCTTAATAAAATCCAGTTTTCATTGACCATAGCTGTGCAGTCAATACCTGGATTTTAAGTCAGAACTACTATGTGCTTTTTTGCCTACCTGGGCAAGATTTTATGGACATGGTGGCTGTAGTAGCACAGACTGTCCTCAGATGGATGTCTAGACATGGCACAGTAGCTCCATGTGATGGAATTTCTCTGTTCTTTGGGGTATTATCCAAACTGGTCCAGAGTGCTAAAGTCAAGATTGTCTCAGTGTGCTGAGAACTAGTGGCTGTTCACTTGGGCCAGCTGCGGTCTGGAGTGGCTAGCTTTCTGGACTTAGCCTAATAGTAGTACGTGTGTGTGTGTGTGTGTGTGTGTGTGTGTGTGTGTGTGTGTGTGTGTGTAAAAAGTTAGACTACTTATACTGTTGATATGAGGTGTCACACATAAATGTTTGAGCATGTTTGAAAATTCAGGATATTTGCTTCTTACTTAGGGAACTTCCAAAGGCTCCATGCTTCACTGAGCTCCCCTTTCCTTGTGCTCTTTTACCAAGAGCAATAGTTCTGTAGTAATGGGAACATTTCTTCTCCAGTTATTGAAGAAGGGGGAGTGAAAATGAAGCTGACCGTCATTGACACACCTGGCTTTGGTGACCAGATCAACAATGAAAACTGGTGAGTGCTTTGCTCTTTCTCCAACTCCCAGTGTCAAGCCTGCCCCCCTCCATTCACTCCCCCACCTCTTTCCCCTGACACGGAAGTGGAGGGAGCAGGGAGCAAGATGCATGCAATGGCCTTGCTTGGGGTGGGGGTGGAATGAGACCAGTGCATGCCTTGCAATTCCAGTTATGCAGACCTATGGTATCATTAGGTACCAGTCAAGTGCCAGCTAAGAATCTGTACTGACTACATGTAAATTTAAACTCTAAAAGCAGACTTGTTGGCTGTACAAAAATGGTAAGGTGATACGTTGCTCAGCAATTCCTTTAGATGAAGTCAGGCCCCATTGGTGTGCTCCAGGGAAGCTTCAGTGGGAGTCATTATGATGCCAAGGTAGGGAGGGCTGGAAAATCATAAATCTTCTAAAGACAAACTTACACTGAAGGATCCTCCTCAGGTATTGAGACTGTTAGTTTTGTTATTTTGGAAGCAGAAGGCCTGCAAGCTCAAACGAATCCTGGCAAATTTGGAGATGGTTCTTTGTTTTCAGGTCTGGGAATGCTATGCTGCTATGAATACAGATGGTCTGAATCAAGGCAACCCAAATTCTATGCTCTGTGTTGTCAGAAGGGCATATTCTCATTGATTAGGGGAGTTTCTAGCTGGAGGGCTCTTAGCAATAACACTCAAAATAGCCTTATGCAGCCTTATGCCTTACGCAGCTATACCTTCTTGTTCCCTTAACAGATTTTTTTCTGGCAATAGAAAAGTTGAAGGAAGGGGTGGGAAATTGCAGGAGGGCAACAAGTGAAGATACTATCAGCTCCATGAAGGAGGCAGTGTGGTTGTACAATAAAAGCTTTGTCTGGAAGCATCCACAGAACCCAGCACTGCTGAAAGAACACTGGCTTCTTAGACTAGCACACACATACCAACATAGATAAAGAAGACCAGATGTTATACTGGAACGTGGACAGTTTATTCAGAGTACTTCATCTTGTAGAATAAAATGATGAAGTCAGATCTAAGTATTTCTTCTAGATATCTGTTCCACAGTGCTACAAAGTCAAACAAAACTACTTTATATGCTATGCAACTTGCCTCTTGGGCCATACAACATGTAATGATAAGTGTCCCTCGATCCAAAGGGCATCCAAATGTATAACAATAACACTTTACTGGGAGGAACCTTGCAACAGGCCCAGTGACTCCCAATTCAGAATGCCACAGTTCTGGTTTCCTCTTCTCAGCTCAACCTGAAGTTCTCACTTTCCTGAAGGTAAGTTGTGGCAGGAGTGCACAACCCCCAGCTCAGGGGCTGCTTTCCAATTTGGAGTGGCTTTTGGGGACCGCACTGTTGGGTAGGCAGAGCAGAAGGCAAAAGTGGCAGGGACAAGCTACCACAATAGTTTAGGTTAGAACTCTTACTGCTGGCACGTAAGCATTGAAAGAGGCATGCCAGCCTTTCAGGATGTGGGAAAAACTGCACAAAAGCTGGGAAACTACCAGAAAATTGGTGGCTGGTGGAACGAATTGCAGCCATCTGAAGGAGCTGGGTTGGTTTCCACTCTCAGCAAGCACCAAATTCTATATTGTAGCACAACCGCCTGACAGTCCAGTAAATGCAGATCCACATACAAGCAAAAAGTGAGTAAGTCATACTATTAGTATACAGTCACTTGTATAATATTGTGGTTTAAATATGCAGAACTGAGGCTTCAAGCTCAGGTAAATGTCACACCCTCTTCAAAGAAGGTTAGTCACTATCCTACCTTTTTCAGATGTCACCTTTCCTCTTTAAAATTGTCAGGCTCAGGTTTATTTAGGATATAGCAAGGGGCAAATCTAATCTGAAAATGGTTTTGGTCTTGTAAAAATACCCATGTTTCTCTCTTCATTATCCCAAATTAGTATCCTTTAAGCTGTGAAATAAAACCCTAATTAACCTGCTTTGGATTTGTGATGAAAATATATCTGTCTACCTTTTACCTCCCAACCTCCTTTTCTGCCCGGCCCTCCTAGCTGGGAGCCCATCGAGAAATATATCAACGAGCAGTATGAGAAATTCCTGAAGGAGGAGGTGAATATTGCAAGAAAGAAACGAATCCCAGACACGAGAGTCCACTGTTGCCTCTATTTTATCTCTCCCACAGGCCACTCGTAGGTATCTCTTCCTAGTTCGTGCGCATACCCATAAGATGGTGGGTGGGGGAACTGGCACCCGTTTGCTAATTAAGCCAAAATTAATCTCCACCAGCCATTTGGCAATGCACACAGGTTGCCCAAAAATCTGCAGACCAAAGGTTAGCACAGTATACAGCATGATATCTGTGGTATCGCTTACACAAAGTGAGGGTGGCTTTGATGAAAATAAAATGCACTCCTTGCCAGAAGTCACCTCTAAAACTTACAATGATCATGGGGCCCTAGAAGAATGTTTCTCCTTTGTGTGTCTATTCCTGCCCCCTTCCATCACTGTTAGAAAGCTCTTGTGGCAGGATGCTCTTAGCGCTGGTTCAAACACTGTGCCTTCTGAAGATGGGTGTGCACTGCTGAAGGGGGTGTGGTGGAAAAGCTCAGTACGCAAAAGTAAATGGCTCCAATGGCTACTTGGATTGTGAGTAGCTACAAAGGGATCTCACCAAAACAGGGAAAATGGCATCAAAACAACAAATGTGATTCCATGTAGGCAAGTTTAAAGTGATGCTTTTTGGGGCAGCCCCTACCACCACCTTTCATAGATACTGGGCTGATCTGATCAAGAAAGAGACCTTGGGGCTGAGATGGGCTGTTTAATGAGAATGTACATCCAGTGTGTGACTGCTGTGAAAAAAGCAAACTCCATGCTAGGCATAATTACAAAAATTATTAAAAATAAAACTGCCAATATCACACTGCCCTTGCACAAATCTACGTAATGTGTGGATAAACTTGGAAGCCTGTGTACAGTTCTGATCACCACACATAAAAAGGATATTGTAGAACTGAAAAAGTACAGAAAAGTGCAACATGGTCAAGGGGTGGAACAAATTCCCATCTTGGACCATTTAGCTTAGAAAAGAGATGAGTAAATCCAGACATGATGAAAGATACAAAATTATACATGGTGTGGAAAAAGTAGAGAGATATTTTTCTCCTTTTTACAATACAAGAACCCTGGGATAATCTGATGAAACTGACTGATGGGAGATTCAGCACAGATAACAGGAAGGATTTATTCACATAACACACAAACTATGGAATTCACTTCCCCCAGATACAGTTATGGCCACCATTCTGGACAGCGCTGAAAAAGAATTGGGCAGATTCGAGGAGGCGAAGGCCATCAGTGACTACTAGTCCTGATGGCTTTATGCTTCCTCCAGTGTCAGAAGCAGCATGCCTATGTGCACTAGGTGCTAGGTGCTGTTGCACTCATGTCCTGTTTGGGGGCTTCTCTGAGCAACTGGTTGGTTACTGTGTGAGCAGAATATTGGCCTAGATGGACAGTAGTCTGATCCAGCACAGCTCTTCTTATTTTTGTATGATGGTACATTGGGGGGTGTGTGGGATTTTTGTCTTATACCTTGTCCTTTTGGCCCTAACAGTCTCCCTGCTTCCTCTTCATTTCTCTATAAGTGCATCTAGTCGCTGTTCAATGCCATGGAGAAAATGTTCAACAAGAGATGCAGACCAGCAAATGAGAGAAATGCCTCTCCCTTTCCCCACCCCGTTTTGTAACCTAGGAAATGGGGGTGCTTCCAGATGGAAGAGTCCTACCAATCAACTGAGCAAATTGAGGGAACAAATGCTGTGAAGGCCAAGAATAGCAGGATGTCTTGTCTTGTATTCAAGGTGGTGATGCTTTCCTAACTAATCTTTTTCCTGGACTGTAGCTTGCGACCTTTGGATATGGAATTCATGAAACATTTAAGCAAAGTAGTCAATATCATCCCAGTTATTGCCAAGGCAGACACTATGACTCTGGAGGAGAAGACTGAATTCAAGCAGAGGGTAAGGATTTCATTACCTGGGGAACATCCAGTAAACACATGCACATACCTTTCAGTTTTGTGTCACATAAACTTGGCTTACCATAGCTTTTCATTTTGGAATGTTTCCCCCTTTAGGTCCGGAAGGAACTGGAAGTCAATGGAATTGAGTTTTATCCCCAGAAAGAGTTTGATGAGGATCTTGAGGATAAAACAGAGAATGACAAAATCAGGGTAGGATCCTTATGACTGTGATTGCTGTGCAGATGTTGCTACCCTGCATTTGAAATCACTGGATTTAATGGGCATTTGACTTTACATTGCTTGATGTGACCCAAATGTTGAACTAGATGCAGCTGACTCAACATTATGGCTATTGAGGAGGTACAAAATGTGGAATCTCTTAAATGAAACTGTAACTCTGGTGTGGAAAACCAGTGGCCCTCCAGATGGGTTTTAACTACAAGTTCCATCCTTTCTGGCCATTAGCTTTGCCAGCTGGAGCTGATGGGAGTTAGAACCCAACATGTGAAGCCAGACAGCTTCCCTATGCATTACCTAAATAGCTATTTTTGGTGGTTCCTAAGATTAAAATTAAATCAGATGTATCTTTTGGTGACTTAATCAAGAGTTATTGTATAATCTATATCCCCATAGAGTGGGACAAAAGTAGGTATATAGTACTAATCAGGTCATGTTTAGTTTCTTAGGTGCTTGAAAAGTCCTCCATCAATGTTGCAAGATTCCTGGAACCTGCTCCTGACACTGTGACACAAATTCCAGTTGGCACCAATGTTGATAAATGCCTACAAGATGAACTCCTTCAATTTGCCCACTGTGCAAGGTCCTCCATGACTTGATCAGTACTGTACATCTACTTTTGGCCCACCCTGTATATTTGCATTTGATAAGTTTAGTGGGGGAATTTGACTCCCTTCAAGCTTTTATAGATGATGTATTATTTATTGGTTTAAATTATATTTATATGCTGCATTTCCATTTCATAAGGTTTGAGGTGGCTATTAAGTGTTCAATATAAAGAGCACCTATATGGATTCATGTTGCACTATATTGATTAACAAGGGCTTGCTAACTAGTTGTACATTATGAATATTACAGTTTTATTGATATCTACTAAGAAGCCCATCCCAGTGAGTTCAAAGGCTTACTCCCAGGTAGGTGTAGACAATTGCGGCCTATATGAATTTCAGTTGCCACTGGCCCACATTAAACTAGTCATGTAAGCAAGCTCATTGTGTTAGGTTTAATCAATATTGACTCAACTTGTTGCTCAGTCCTAATTTATAAGTCTGACATGTCTTTATGAAATATTCTGCTAAAAACAAATATTACATGCCCAAGAAAATTCCTAGACACCTACTGAATGCATAAGAATAACAGAAGTTTTCAATAATATGCAAATGAGATGACAGTCCCAAACACATTTACTAGGGAGTAAGACCCATAGAACATGGTGGAAATTATTTGTAAGAGAATATGGCTTAACGTTTTGCCGTAAAGTTATGTACAGTCTAAAGAATTGACTCTGATAATATTTTGACAAGAAGTGGCAGTGTGGAGGTCCTGTTCTATGAAGGGAAGTGTGTTAGAAATGTGGACTACTAAAAGGTCCAGAAACAAGTATGAAACAAGACAGGAAAGAAACAAACTACTGTTTTCCTTACCTGTTGCACAGAGGAGCATATTCATTTCACTGTGTATTCTCAGCAGGAAAGTATGCCATTTGCAGTGGTGGGAAGTGACAAGGAATATCAAGTGAATGGAAAAAGGGTCCTTGGCAGGAAGACGCCCTGGGGAGTCATTGAAGGTAAACAATCCTGCAGTTCTGAACAGTCCTGTTTTTAGGCACCAACAGGTTGTAGATGCTGAAATGGCAAAAGCAAGTCTTCAAATGGTACAAGTAATGTGTCTGGAGGTGCCTAACATCCTTGCCATTATCCTCCCGGGAATGGTCAACCACTCTTTCTCTCTCCTTCAGTAGAATCCATTAGCTATTAATTATTTGGATGAATGAGAAGTAGGTGTGCTTATCTGAATTGTGGGTGGTGGCACAAAATTGGAATGGAATGTGGATACTTTCAAGAAATCTAACATTTCTGTAACCAGAGAACTTAATAGATAGCAACAAAATGAAAATCTATAGGAATAGGTATAAAGTTTTAAACATAGGGAAGAACCAAACGTCTATGGTAAGGGAGTACGTTGATACATGATAACCTGATATATACTTGGGGCTCTTAAACAGGATGTGATGCTGTGAGGATATGAACCATGCCATTTATGCTTTATCAGCAGAAATATCTGCTAGAAGCCTAAGATTACTTAAGTTAATGGAAGGAAATCTTTTCATCTCCTCCTTTTGCAACCACCTAAGCTCCTTGAAAAAGCCTTTCTGGATGATCAGGGGTTGCAGATCTGATCGGTGGGGATTCTTCCCTCCCTGAACTGCTGGCCTGTGTCCCATTCCTCATTATTCAGGAGATACTGTAGGGAGGAGCACACGTAGCAAGTGGGAGGCCAGAAGCTTTATTTCTCTAAATTGCCTTAAGTTAATTTCTCTTAAGATCCAAGTTGTTGTTTCTAAATTTACCATGCAATATGATTGCTGTACGAAATGCCAGCAAGATCTCATCTATTGTTAATTTCTGGAGACCACTGTTCAAAACCTGGAATTGAGACAGAGGACTATGATCATGATAAGAAAGAACTGAGAAAGCAATCGAATGCGGAAATAAAAAAGGAGTACGTTTAGAGAGGAGACACTTGATATTGATGCCTCAATAGTTTTCAAATGTTTCAAAGAATAACATTAAGAGGGGCAATTAATGCTAAGCTGGGGATAAAACAAGACAAAGAAGTTTTAAAGTGCATAGGTCTTATATTGCAGGGAAATATTTTACCCAGTTCACCACTGAGCTTACGTAATAACCTAATTTAATTAATTAATAATTTAATAAGCCAAAATTATGGGAACTCTTCCAAAAAAAAGTTATCCACTTTCAGTAGTGCTGCTTCAGACAGGGGTTGGCCTCAATTGTTTCCTTCCAGTTGTGTGTTTTTATTACTCAACCCATTTAAAGTGTTTGTTTTGTTTTTAATTTACAGTGGAAAATCTTGGTCATTGTGAATTTGCTCTACTCCGAGACTTTGTCATTAGGTGAGTCCATTGTGCATGCTGACTAGTGAACCGAAAATAAGTTGCTTCTAAGAACTAGCAAGCAAGCTGAGAACACAGCAAAGCAGTTACAGCTGTTGAAATAGCCCAACATTTTTGTAGGCTAGCCTTTGCCCGCCTGTTTCAGCATTCCTGATCATCTGCCATACTAACTACAGCCAAAGAGATTTGAAGTCCAAACCATCTGGAGGGCATCAGGTTGGGCAAAACACTTTTTAAGTGCTTTAAAGCCATATTGTTGTTTGTTCCAGTGCAAGTAATCCAAGCTAGAGTAAACAACCTTGATGGGCTTGAACTGCTGGTGAGTAATCAGTAAAGAGCTCTTGCAGTTGCAAACAGGCTAATGAAAATATCAACACCATGTACAATGACAGTAAAATAGTAATTCCGTTATGATATCATAATGCTTCTATAGAAGTCTGTGACACAACCACATTCAGAGTAGGGTAAATACAGGGCAGGTTTGCACAATACAAAAAACCATAGTGATTTATTGTGCAGGGAGAGCAGTCTGTTTTGTCATCTGAACCCTGCTGTGGTCGTTCAGCTTGGTACATTTGGTTTTTAGAAACCATGGCAAGAAACTATCATCATTTCTACAATTTCCATGCTTCACCATGGTTTCACTGATCATCTGAACCTGTCACCATGGTTTGCATAGTTCTGGTATGTAGTTATCACAAGAATTTCATGGAAAGATTGGCAGCAGCTGCTGCCAGCCTAGAAAACACTTAATCATCTGTAAGGCACATCCAGGCAAAAAGCTACACACCATGGAAACTATGTAGGGTTTGACATGATGTGTGAAACCCGCCACTATATAGGCTGATGGGATCTGAAATAGCTGTGAATCTTCATGAAGTGATTTTGGGAATATTCTTAATGAAAACAGGCAGTTCCATGTTAATGATAATTAGGTAAGGGATTAAAAATAAAACAGCTAGTATGATATTTCCCTATTTAAATTTATAGGATTTGTGATTGGAATAGTACATACAGGTCAGAAATCTCAGAAAGAATGTCATTTCAATAAGATCTAAAAGAATTGGAAAAAGAGTGCTAAAATGGTTAAGAGGTATGAAGAAAAGCACTTTAGGTGCCATCTATGCATGCTTAGACAGAGAAAAGGTCATGCTGAGAGTTGCATACTTTTTCTTTGTCTAAACATATATATGATTGTGCTCTTAGGCTTTTTTTAAAATTCAGAAGAAACACAAGTAAGGAGGATATGATAGAAGATTATAAAATATGTGCCAGGTAGAGAAGGGAAATATACAGACATCTTATTCCCTTTGTCTCAAAACTAGAATCCAGGGCTACCCAACAAAATCTACCAATAGTAGATAATAGCACAGAAAAAAGAAGTGCTTCTTCATACATCACACCACCAACATATGGGATTCACTGCCACAACCCATCGGTTTACATAGTTTTAAAGGGAATGAGACAAATTCATTGACAGTAATCTTAATGTGTAGAGAAAGGAAATAGCTTTGTGCAGGGGGATAAAAACAGCAGAGAGATGTGTGCTGCAGTGCTGAAGGAAGCCTTCCAACTAAAGCATGTGAGTAAAAGAAAAGTTATATGAAATGGTGAACCAATGCTTAAGGGGGGAAGCCTTGCTGTTTGCTTTCCACACCCTCTTTGTTTAAATTGAAGAGCTGCCTGAGTGCTCCCACACTTGCATCATCCAGTAGTTTCCTCTCTTTCCCTTCTTCTTTTCTCCTTTTCCTCAGGACCCACCTTCAAGACCTGAAGGAAGTCACGCACAATATCCACTATGAGACTTACAGGGCTAAACGACTGAATGACAATGGGGGGCTCCCCCCAGTGACCATAGAGACAGAAGAAAACCATGAAAGTAATATGTGAACAACCCACCTTGTTATCTGCTGTCTCAGATTATAGCCACTACTATCACCCCATCCCTTTATTTGAGTTCAGGCCTCTCTTTGAAGCATGTGGGATATCCTTTGTGTGTGCATATGGGGGCAAGAATAAGGGACGTGGCCCCCCAGCTTTCCCCAAATTTCCCCATCTTGTTGTTTTATTTTGAATTTTGTATTTTGCACAGCAGACTCTAGTCTTCCATTGTGTTCTACTATTCAGTCATGCATCCTGATTGCGGGAAAGTTGAGGGAATTTTGGATGTGGTGCAATCTCTAGAGTCACATTTAGTGAGTTTGTAAGGGGAAATGAGATCAGGATAAGGGAGTTGTAAACACTATGGTGGGAACAGAGTGATGTATTTGGATGCGACTTTCAGTGGCCTGGAAGAGACTGGGTTGCTCTGCACTGTGATGGTGGTTTGTTGTCATAGGCTCACTTCTCATGTAGAAGCAGAAAAAGTAGAGTTAGATTGGGATCCTAGGTAGTATGTATGTTAGTAAATTCCATTAAAATTGGTGGGAGGGATTGGTTGCCAAGTAAACATGTTTTATTAGAAACAATGTGCCAGTGTGGAGAAGAGAGACAGAATTTGTGCCATTTTGCTTCCCATAGACGGATTGTAGGTTGTAGAGAGAAAAATAAGAATTGAGAGTTGATGAACAAGTATTGGTTTTCTCAGTGTAGAAAAAGAAGAGCATTTTATAGAGGAGAACTCCTTTCAAATTGTCATTCAAATAGTTTTTGTTGTTGTTGTTGTTGGGAATCAAGTCCACCCTTAGGACACCATAACACACTTGGATTGCTTGGTCCTGTCAGGTGCTTAGCATTGTCAAAGATGCCCTAACATAAGCATTACTGTACTAACAGATCCCCTTGGGATTGTTGCAGGAGCTAGAAACACAAAGAGTGCAGCATATTCCAATTGTGCCTTTCCTCCCTCTGATGCACTGACTTGAGGAGAAAGCTTTTTGCCAGGCAGGGAGCACCTTAGGCTGGGGAAGTTCCCCACCAATTGCATACTGAGAGGTCAAACAGCATGAAGAGGCTCCTTAGGGCACACTCTCTTTTGATCCCATACTATGGCATTCTTAGTCTGACTTTGCTCATTTCAGGTCTTGTTCAGGTAGTCTAAAATCCATGCGACTGCCAACCACTGCCAGTTACACAGTTTGGCCACACCATCCCAATCCTGATAATGTCAACTCCTTATTTTGAAAAACAAGAACAAGTGCCTAGCTTTCACAGTTATGGAGAAAGGTGTGAGAACACCTTTGGAATGCTTAAAAAGCAGATGTGGATCACATGGGACTTCCTTGATGGCCAGGAGGACTTCATTGTCCCACGCGGGTTACAAACTGTCTCTAGGCTTCTCCACAGGGGACTTTCAACCTGCCGCGTTACTGAAGCTTCTCCTGCCAAATACTCTCTCTTTGCCGTTCAGTATGCTCTACTACACAATTATAAAGTGGCAACTGCTTGGAAAGCATGAGAGAAGCTTTGGAGGAAAACAATATTGTGTAAAGCACCTCCAAACCACTGTGAGTGGTGCAGCACGCAATAAATGTCTTGTGTGGAAAAGCCCTCTATTCTTTGTTACTTCACACTGCCTCCCAAAGTGCCATAAGCAGTAACCAGTGTTGCCCCTTCTTTTATAGAAAAAGCAGCCGTGGCTCATTTTCAGATATGTATATGCTTGAATCCAGATTCAAAAGATCTTTCAGCCCAGTATAATGTACTGATTTTAAAATGAAACCCCAGCTTTCAAGTGGAAAGCTGGTCAAGAAGAAATGCAAGCTACAACACAAATAGGGAACAGAGGAATTGGCCTTGTACCTAGTCCATCTTTCTCAGTGCTGTCTATAGGCTGACTGGTTCTCCAGGGTTCCAAGCAGGAGTTTTCCCCATCGCTCCTGGAGATGCCAGTGACTGAAACTTGGTCTTTGTGAGCTGTGGCCCTTCCCTGTTACAGCCTTCATCTTCAAAATGTAAGGATAGAACAAAATCTGTTACCAGAGCTTTGTAACCCAATTCTTGGTAATTTACATATTATAGCAAATTATAAAAGACTAATCACAGAGTTATTTTTCCAGAAATTTGCCTGGAGATTCAGGTACAGGAGGTCCTCCTTAAGAAGGGAGTTTCATAAAACAATGGCCACTGCTGCATGAAGTCCACTGGAAGCTCTCTTTGGTTGTATAAATGGACTAGATGCAGTCTGGAATAGGTCTTTCTGAATGTACCACATGAGAATGAACGCACAGGGTGAGGTGCACTGTAATCAATGAACTTTAAATGGATGAGTGACAAACCCCGGTGCAACTGCCAAAATCTAGTCAACTAAAGTTGGTCAGGAAGTTATGTATCCTTGTTTCTTCCATGGGGGATGCTTCGTTTTGGAAATCGGGCAAATGTATAGAAGGTTCTGCACTCAGTGTCAGTTTTTGGGGGCACTATTCAAATCTATCCTATAAACGAGAAATAACAACCAATATTCTGAAGCCCTTCCTAACAGATTCTCCACTTCAGGGACGCAGATCCATCTGCTGATGTAACTTAGACTGATGTAACTTTACAGCCTCACTATAGCAAAAGTGAGCATGTATGGCTGTATATGGTTAAAAATAAAATATAAACTTAATTTAAGAAGAAATGCTTTAAGTTTTTAGCATTATGTTTCTTTTTCACTACCCCAGCTTAGCTACTTTGATTCCTCAAATAAATTATATATATACGGGTTGCTTCCAGATGGACAGCTTTTAGGGCCACCAATAAAAAGTCAATGTGCAGTGATTCCATCTTTTCATCTTTAACATTTTTTTCTAGTGGAAAAAAGATGGAAGAAACAGTAGAAAAACACGGGAGGGTGACAAATCAAACATGACACCTGGATCCCTCCTGTTAAAATTCGATAATTAAGACAAAGCAAAGGCATAACAAAAAATTGTCTAGAAGTGCCCCTTCCACTTCTGCATTCCTTAGCTGCTTGTTAGCAAACAATATTTGACTGAGTGTGCACTCATTCCTATACATCTTTAGTCAAAGAAGTCCTACAAATCTCAGCATTCCCCAGCCAGCTATGGTAGGAGTTCTAAGCCTTTTTTCTGTCTAGAGATGCATTGGATTGCACCCTTAGTAAACAAGTCAAACATGAGGATTACTGCAGTGATTGCTGTCTTGGTCTTTACAGTGACAATACAGAATGGTGGTATACTAATATATGAAGAGCCAAATCTTTATAACTCAGGCCAATATGCAAGGTACTTTATTTCTCATATTGCCATAGCACCAGAATAAGACTTTGAACAAATAGCTTACTCCACTTGCAGGGGAGGCCTACTCAGCGAAATGCAAATTAGCCTGACATGAAGGCAGGCTTTTCTGTGCAGAATGTCTTACCTTTCCCTCTATCTAGTTTAGCTATTGAGAAGCCAGAGAGACAGGCAGATTATGAATATGCCTAATCAAAAATAACTTTTCATAGATTAATTGAACGTGTGGACCTTAGTCTGGCCCTGAGAGGACTTCTGTGACCTAGGGTGATTTTAAGCCTTCCATAATATTGTTAGATATAATGGCAGAGTGTTTCTAAAAAGATGGGTAACCAAAAGACGATGTTATCTGAAGGGTGTTCCAATATAGCTGTATTTATAAGTGTTGTAAGCAAATGAAAAAAGTATAACAATAGCATGATGCTATGCATGTATAATCAGAAGTAAGCCCTATTAATATCATTGGGAACCTGTTGAATATTTGGTTATACACAGGTTCAGCAGAAGCATTAAATAGCGGATTTAGTTAAGAGGCTGTTGCTTGCACCTGGATCTGTTAGAATCCACATTGAAAGGCTTACAACAAAGAGAAGCTTATTTACTCACATATTTAGTATGTGACTTGCATGAAGGAGGTGTTGCTATGTTCATGCAGAATGTCTTGGTTAAAAAGAAGGTCCATTGTTAGATGGTTGGCTTAGAAGAGGAGAGAAGAACATGTTCAAGGCAAAAGAGTGAGAGCAAGAGAAAGTGAGCAAAAGGTCCGGTGACCCTTCTGCCTTTCCAGGGGAGATGGGGGAACAAAAAAAGGGCAGGACAGAGGCAGCTCAAGCAGAGATGTTGGTCTCATCTTGTCCTGCCACTCTGGTTAGTGGACAGAACCATGCAGTATTAATGCAGGCAATGTTACATATAAGACTTATATGTTCAGTAAGACTTATTCCCAGGTAAGTGTGTATAGGATTGTGGCCTAAGATGCTCTATTATCATGGCAGAAGCATATAAGGCTAGGTAGGGTACTGGCATAACAGTAAGACAGAGATGCCAGAGAACTGGTGTGCATCAGACAAGGTTATCAGAGATAGGACTTTACCTGAGAGGAGTCTTCTTCAAGATAAGCATCTGAGACAGCACTTAACATCTCTGTCAGAGTTGCTTCCATATCTGCTCATTTTTCTTTGCTGGAGGCCAGGCAGAGCAAACTTGATGAACAGGTTCTACTGCCCTTTAACCAGTGACAGCATAATTATTTTCCCCATGGAGAGGAAAACCTCAGGAATGGTACTTGAATGCATGCATATCATCTGTTTTCCACACACATGCAGGCAAAGGTCTTATCACTAACATATCCTTTTATTTCATTTGTAAGCAAACTGCAGTGCTGCTGGTGGTCATCTCAGTGTCTGTCAAATGTTTCCTACTCAGTTATTTTTAAAAGCCTTTTTGGTGGTAAATCTGTTTAGGCAAACTATCAGCCTTGGCAGTGTTGGGCTATGTTCATAATTTCCATCTTCACAATCCACAGCTGTTTAATTTATCAAAACTATTTCATAGTCCGTAATTTCTTCCCAACCATCTAGATGATGCACAGTTAGGATCGGTGCACTTTGTACAGCTGCCATCTGGAGACCACTAAAGTACTGCCTATATTGAAATTAAAAGCAAATTTTAAGGGTTCTTCTATATTATTAGTCTATAGGCAAGATAATTGTC